TGAGTTCAAACTACCAATTAAGTCCTTTGACATTGCATTCCCAGACTAAAATACACAAGTTCTTTATATTGCCTGCTCTACCTACTGATCTTTTCCTTGATAACGATTCAATGTTGCTCATCTGATCTTAGATTCCAAAAGTTCTTCATGCACTAATGGGCATTTTAGTGTTTTATCAGAGAAGCATTCCTGCTTCGAATTTGACGATAGGAAAGATTTTAAGATTTTTCTGAGGACATCAATTTGTACTTAATTATTTTCTGAATCAGAAAGTTGATATTGTTGTGGACTGTGGAGTCATAGTTATCATTTAATTATTGATATTTTAGGTCTGTTGAGAATGTTATATTGCTTTAAAGTTAGTTAGTGCAGCATGTCCTTATGATATAGTTTTGTATCTTGGGACATTAGTTCAGATTTCACTTTGTTAAAAATTGTGGAAATGACGCTTCAAACTGTTGTAGTTACTGAATCACAATATTTGAGTGCTTCGGAAGCTTCTTACTGCAACTTAGTCTACTATCGAGCTCTATGTTTTATTTGTGCTTTCTGATATATTTATGTGACATAGTTTGCGATCGGCGTAATCTTGTTTCTGCAATGTGTGCTACTGATATAATTTTCGTTATTAATTGATTCTGGTGGTTTTGATTAGTACTGTTTTTTTTCAAAAGAAGGATTTGCTATTAGTTTTATGAAATCCTTAAAAATGTTGTTACAAAGGTCATTATTTTAAGACAACTGCTAAGAAGCAAAAAGAAGTAATGGACCATAGCGATGGTACGCATGTAGACCCTTGTCGTAGTACTTCTAAAGAAAAAAAAACAAAACAGAAGGAAAACATGGTAAAAGAGATTGTTTCTTTAATTTTCTTGTCCAACTGCAAATTATTATGTGTTGCTAAATAATTGTACATTTTGTGTTGTTTTTTGCATTCTATTGTTTGTATCGCAGAATAACCTCTAGAATATTTGAGTTTTTTTCCCACCTTTATTGATCTGTCGATTTTTTTTGCTGGAAATAGATATCACTAGAGTTTCCTATATCTCGGTATTTAGTGGCTTTCATTCTTTTCAAGAAAATAACAGTAATAATCTGGAACAAGTTGAAGTAGGCGTAGCTGAAGAAATAAGGGGGATAGAAAGGAGGAAGATCGGAAGTCTGATTTTTTTCATTAGGAAATTAGATCATTGAAGCAGTCCGATGTCCACTCTGGAGCCTCAATTTAGAACTGTGAAATACTGTTTGTAAAAATTACATTTACTTCACTATGTTGCCTTTTTATCTTCTGAAATATGTGGAACAAGATTCAGTTTTCCAGACGTAAGATATTTTGAATTAGCATGAGTCACCCCACTAGCAAAAGTTGAGGCATTTCGGAAGTTTTGATAGTTAGTTGAGAAGACCATTGTCTGTGTTCATAATCTTAATTCAATACAGTGTCTTATTTTTTATGTAACTGAGAAATATTAGAATGTGATGTCATTTCAGCTATACTTTCAGGGAGATACACATGGAATGAGCAAAGAGGAAGAAAAAGCAGTTACTGAGAAAGTTGCGAATCTGGAATTAGAGGAATGCTCTTTGAAGTCAGCTTTCAAAAAGTCTGGCGAGGTATTCATTTCATTTCATATTGAAATATCATGCTGTAGCATTCGATGTGTTTAGCGAAATTTTTTCGAGTTCTAAAAATGTTTTAAATTAATAAAGAAAATATTGCACTAAAACGGACTACAGTTATCTTTATAGTAGTTCAACAGATAATTCTTACAATATTGATGTCATTGCTCAAAAAATGTAAGAAATGCTAAATTGATTTCAACAGTCGGTATGAATTATTTCTTTCATAAAGTTCATGCACATTTGTGTTCATCTCTCACTTTTGCTGTTGTATTTTTCTTTCGATCTTCGAAGATACAGAAGCAATTTTTCAAACACAGTATTACTTATAACGTTTATTTCTATTAATCATGCACGAATGTCATTTTAGCACAGCACATATTTCTTAGGTTACGTACACTTCATTTTCAGCTTTTTTAGGTGGTGTATTATCTCTAATAGCACTTTTAACATGACTTGTTCGTTATCTAGGATATGATATTTTAATTTGGTCTCATCTCTGACGGGAAACTGGAACAAGAATCTCATGAATTGAGAAACGGTATTAGGACAGAAAGATATCTTCAGCAGCAGCGATCTTCGAAAATTAAAGATAGTGCAATTGTGAAAAGTGATGTGGTTCTACTCTCTGAAGTAAAGGGTGGGGCAAGTCAAGTTAGTAATGGTCTATCTAGACCATTAGGAATAAAAGATAACTTTAGGAGCGATGGGAATTCAGAGCTTATGGAGTCTCAGTGCATCAGTAACATGGACGAGATGTTGAAGAGTACAGAGGAAGAGCAAAAATGTGAGGGACGTCAGCAGACTGATGCAGAAAAACATCTCATGTACATTAAGCGGTCTTCAGAGGAGAATTCACACATTTCCGAACTTGAGGAGCCTTATAACAGCATAGTGACAAATCTTGCTCAGCAAAAAATGAGAGTTTTTCTGATCGTTGTCAGGAAACATCTTCAGGATTTGTAGCTGATGAAGACGATCAATTTGATATGTCTGCTTTATCACGAAAATTGGAAGCGCCTTCTACTGAAGTTTATGTGAGAGACTTGTCTATCGAGCCTTTCTCAGTTTATGGTAGTGAACTCATGGAAAAATCTGTTCCGAATGATACTTTACATCCTGAAACTTATGATGCATCCACTGCTGTATTTGTCAATACAAAAGAAGCAAAGGAAAGTAGTAATGATCCCAATTTATCATTCGCGCTTGTTTCAAACGAAATTAGAGGACATGGTTTCAGAAGTACTAAAACTGAGTTCCAGTCTTTGCCTATTGATTCTGTGCCCCTACGCAAAGAAAGAAGTGAGTTGAATCTTGAAGCATCAAAATTACAAAATGGTTCATTCGCAGTTAATTATGTTGAAGACAGAGAAATGCATGGTGATTACCCCTCCCATTCATCTATTCACAAAGATAGCAATTTATCTGCAGTTGGAATAGATCATGTTACTTTTGCATCACTCAGTGCATGCAAAAAGGACGATCACTCTGAAGATGGAATTGAAGAAACAATCACCTCAGATAAGACTACGAATCTCGAATCTGTTCCTGCTGTAATCAAGGAATCTCAATTTGTTAAGGATTATCAGGTGAATTCCCATGACCAAAGCTTATCTGCCTGTTTTGGAGACAGAAGACAGGAAGTAAGTTCTAATGAAGTAGTTTCGTCTGTCTTTGGAATTGAAAGCCGAAAAGTAGCTACTAAATGTTAATCAAGAAAATAAATCATTTACCAGCAAAGTAGAGGCATTGGTGCTCACGCCTTATGACAGTACTGAGAAAGATTCTACCAATAAATTTTCGGACACAAAAAAAATGAGTTCATTCCTAATAAAGAAAGTACTCCAAAAAATGAAGCCATTTTTGAAGAAGTTACACTGAAATCTACTCCTAACGAAGGGTTACATGAAGTCATTTCGTGCGCAACCATGAAGTCTTGTCAGGATTTGGCAAGTGTAACAGCTGTAGATAATCAAGGATATGAGTTAAGTGATAAACAGGCTGACTTATTTGCATCCGAAGCTTTTGTAGCAGAAAAACATTATTGAAAACCATAAGTTTGTTGCTGGAAAAGCTGAAGTTCCTTTGGTTGAAACCTGTAGCAAAAGTTTGCTTCTTGAGTCTACAGGTAGAAGTAAAAACGTGGAAAATTGCTTGTAGTTGAAAATGTGGATCAGTTTGCTTTTGAATCTCCTACGTCAACAGAATTTTTGAACGATAATATATCTTTTGAATTACCAAACGATGAGAATATAGACAAGCAGATCGTAAAAGAGTTGCTTTCTGGATTCAGTTCTGAAAGATCAAAAGATGTGCATTTATCAAATATGGGGTCTTATCTAGTTGATGGTAAGCAGAAGAACATTTCGTTTAGTGGTAATCATAGCAGGACTACTGAAAAACATATTGAAGACATGGTTGCGCAAAAGACGTATGGTGGTGCATCTGTCAATGAAAGTCGAGATTTAAATCGGAAAAGAATAGAGGCCACTTTTTTCCCTTTATATGAATCACTTACTACTCCTTTGGTAAGTTTGATGGCAAATCTCGATTCGCAAGTATGTCATTGAGCAGGTATATCGCACAGTTTTAGTTTGCTTTCTTTTCAAAGCCTTTAACATTTTTGTTTTCATATTCACCCACAGTTTGGCATTGATTTTTTCCTTCTACACTTGTGAAAAACTTTCTGTTGATATGTGAAAGAATACATGTATCGATGACGAATTCCTTGATTTCCGCATTGATAATCAATGTGAATTAAGTACGAAAATCAAGGAATTCGTCATTGGTATATTACCTCATAGCTAATAATATTTAACAAATAGGTCTTGAAAAAGTAGTAATACCACGTGAAATGCTTGGCTTATATTTTTTTTATATTTATGGGAAGTGTAATCAAATAGCTTTTTGTTAGATCTCACATCATGTTCAACTCAATACGCTTCCTTAACTTTTCAATAATTATTGACGCCACTAATTCTTGCATTTTGAAGAGTGTATCTACCCATGTATATCTCGCATTTAAAATGTTATTGTAAACTGGTTCCGACTTTTTCACTGCTATATTTACTTCATTAAGTCAGAATCAATGCGTATTAGATGGCAAATTTTACTTCTGTTGTGTTTAGAATGTTGCATTTTCTGCAAGCGACAAAAATTTGGCTCTAGAGCGTTCACAATTTAAAGCAGAAACAGCAGCTGATAACGTAGAACTTCCAAGTAAAGTAATTTCGAAAAATTCAGGCAAGTCTCATTGTCTTATTTTTACATATGTAATTGATTAGCAGAAATGATTGATTTTTTCAATTTTATGAGAGAAATATAGGATTACTTTAGTTGTGTAATGTTTAATTTTTGATATTTTTTATTCACTGCTTTTTATCTATTGTTATCGTCGAGAAGTTAAAAATGAGGACTGCTTAAACTAGATGTTTGTTGCAGAAGTGATATCGACGACGAAATCAAGCTGCGACATAAGTAATTCAAAAGAATTACAGGTGAGCAGTGCGAATTCTATTAAAGAAGGTGTAAAACCAGCAAACCATGCAAATCTTGTCTTGAGTACTGCTGTTACGGAGGTTTGTCGCCATTTTTTGTTGTATGAAAACTCTTAAAATCGGTGATTTCAGTGTAGTCAGTATTCATGTTTGTTCATTTACCGCATATGCCGTGTCTTAAGTTTCGATTTCCTAAGGTTCGAATTATCCGTTTTAGATGTGGTTTATAGTGTCATAAAGTTGGTTTATAGTGTCATAAAGTGACTCCGGAATAAGATATGCTGGTTGCAGTAGCCTTAGAAATGTTTCAGTCTGTACATAATATAAGAGCTTTAAATAACCTGATCTGACTAACATATGCGACCGATCAATTTTTCTTGTATAATATTTGGCTTGTAGAGCATAACTTCAACAACAAATACAAAGGCAGGAAAGGATGGAAACATGGATGTTGAGAAGAGAGAGCCAGTTCTGTCATTGCAAGAGGAGAGACTAAAATATGTTCAGCCAGTTCGCGAACGCGTATATAAATTACTGCCACGTGACATTCAGTTCTGTGTGCATATGATTGAGAAGTACGGGGAAAATTATGAGGTAGTTTTTTCGCAATCTCTATACAGTTACGAGTGTGATAGTATACGGATCTTGTAAGCATTCAGTTTCATTATCTGCTTGCAGTTAGTTGATAATATATACTTGATTTGTTAGTTAGTAAGTGATCATTGCTTAATTATTTGTAATAGGATGGATGTTTTACATTTTCGACTCATTTTAAGGGAATGGCAAAAGATGAAGGCAATATATATCATGATTCGGCGAAAGGAATAGCGCAAAAAATAAGAATTTTCAAGCGAAGTCCTGAGTACGCAGTTTATTTAAAACAACAAGCTGAGCAGAAAGACTCAGTTGCTTAATTTAAAGACTCTTGAGGTCATTATACCTCAGTTTTCGTGTTGATATATGATATATTCTACGGAAATGATGCAGATATAAACCATGGTTTCTTTCTGGTTACAAGTAGATTACCATTATATGTATATCAGCAGCGTTCTTGTTGAAGATGCATTTTATATTGTTCTTGTTTGTTTTGAGTGTCAAAGTGGGCATTTTTGTGGTAACCGTTACTGCTGCTTTATTATCATTTTACTTAGTTTGGTTTTTAAAGGTACCGTGCACATAACCGCTGGCAGGTGAATGATTAAAAACACCTTTTTGAAAGGACTTTCATTTGTTCAAATTACATTACAAAGTTGGACATTTGTTTATCAAGAAATTAGTATTTAGCAACACGTTTTTGATAATTTTTCTACACAAATGCATTCTATATACATATGAAACCATTGATATTTTTGAAAACTTTCATTTGTCTAAATTACACTACAAAGTTAAAAAAAAATATTCTAATAAGCATGCAAATTATTTTCAAATATTTCGTTTTTGGATCTCCTGGAATCCCCTCTACTTTTATCCAGTCTTCTTACAACCATTAAAATTTGAGAGTGTTTTTATAACATTTTTGAGAAGAGCGCAAGCGTGTCTTGCAAATCAAGTAACGCTTGACCATTGAAACGAAGTTTGAAATAGGAAAGTGAATAACTTAAAGAAACTCATAGAGGAACTATTTGACAATTTTTTCTTTAGTTTGTGCTCGGGGATAGTGCGTATCAAAGACGCATTTTTAGGCAAACTATAGACTATAGTTTATGTCAACTACGAGTTGTCAGTTACATAGATTGCGTGACTAGAGTGGTAGCATTCCTCGATTAATTTCTTGGAAAATATGTTGCTAATGCTTTATTTATATCGCTTCGTGCTGTAATATTAAGGGTATATCGCTTCCGCGTAAGAGCCTGTTCATTATTTGATAAGAGTGCTCAGCATTTTAGATGCAAATATAATCTCCAACTACCAGGGCAGCATTCGTTTCGCGAAGCAGAGTCACCTAGTGGTGTTCTCCCCATGGAAGATGTAAAAATAATGAAAGCGAATAGAGTAAGATTATGTGGGCATATCAGTTCAGGGGCGGTGCCCCTCTCATTTAGATGTGAAGGTCGTGTATATCGAAATCTGCTTTACGCGAAGGACAAGCAAAATTAGAAGCATGTTCTCTTGTTGGGATGAGAATGAGTGAACAAGTAGTCGGTCAGTACTCGCAATTTTAAAATTTTATAAGAGCAACTATGAAACGATGGAACAGGTTCCCCTGTTTCTACATTAAGAAGTTAAGTTAATGTTGTAAAAGTGCAATGAAATATAATGAGACAGATACGTTGAAGATGGCTATTTGCTACTGATGATTAAAAAAGCTTCCTTGGTTTTGCATCAAAGTTTGCCCATTCAGCAGACCCATCTGCGGGAAGAGGATTGAGAACCGTAGCACCATCAAGTAGGAAATCAATGTCAACAAAACCAAAATATATGCGTGTTTCTGCATTTGTTGAGTATGAACATTGTTTTGGCAAGTGCTTTTCACGGCACACCTATAATTTTTTCTTACTGCTATGAATGGAATTTAAAAAACCTCTACAAACGAAACTAGTAATGCTGTCGCCAAACGATACTTACTTAATTGCATGAGGCTATGGTTTAAGAAGTCTTCATGCATTAATATGAGTTTTCAATTAGCTCTCAAGCTCCAAATTCCTTATGCCTCATTAATGCTTATACAGTAAAACTGCTTTTCTTGTATAAAATCATACGGCTGCATTGTGCATTTCATCTATGAATGTCTCCTCCAAAATCCATTCATCTTGCAGTTTTCCGTCTAGTGATACTGTAGTTGACGTTATGAAACATCTAGGACGATATCGTTCATCTTGATTTACGTGGAAATTTAACCGACTTAAATCTGATAGTAAACCTTCTCCAGTTGCCTATAAGATGAAAGTGAGAACGCCTCACGATTTTAAGAATGTACTAACTGATGTAAGATTTCATTTTACTACAAAAACAATGAGTAATTCGCAATTTAAGCATTGTGCATTGCTAAGATAACAAAAATGCTTTAATTGCAATATTTACATACATTACAATTAAAACATGACGTACACAATTTTCTGAAGTGCGTAACATTTCCTACATTATAAAATTATTTTGAAGTATTAAAAGGTATGATGAACTTTGAAATAACATTATCATTTCTTGCCTTGAGGACTGCTTCTTTCAAGCACCAATATCTATAGAAATAAATCATCTTCATTTGTTCAGTTGCTTGAGCTCTCATTGTCCGTAACTCTTCTGGACTTGCAGACTTTGCCATTGATGTGATATACTCATCAGCCGTTCTATTACTTCTTTGTTTATCAATACGCATACAGTCCACGCCAACCTGAACGTTGAAATTTTAATTTAATGACAAATCACTAATATTTTACTGAAAGAATAACCATTTCTGTAAATTTAGAGAAACTGAATAGGCCTCATAGAAAAAATCTATAAAATATTTGCACAACTACTTACTCTAGATGAGCAACTACTTGCAAACGCCACATAATCTCCTTGATGAGATACATTTAAACCATACTCTGTATTGCTTGGACTTATCAAATACGGTTTGCCTTTTTGCGTTCGTCCAAATTCAATTTTATTCCAATCCACATTTGATAATCGTCGTGTGATCTATAAATATCATCCAAAAACTAGTGTAGTATGCAATATATTTTTACATTCATCATTTGAATTCGAACTGCAAACTATAAGTAGTTTCAGATTTCAAAACAAACTTGACGTAATAACAGTCGTCCTAAAATAGATGCAAGAGTATCGTCTTTGTAGTGAAACCTCATTGCTTTTGCACATTCTTCCTACAATTTTTTGTAAACTTAGAAGGTGGTATGAAGATGCAACAGAAGTTTTTAGCGTTTAACCATCGTAAAATATACACAAATGGCATTACTTACATTAAAAAAAAATTGTTTTCGTTTAATTTGCACATTCTTTAAACTGTTAGCTTGATTGGCAAGCAACTATAATGTTTCAGTTCGTAATGAATTTTCCAGAATTACAAAAAGAAACAAAATTCTAAACCTCATATGAGCCTTTCATTAAAGCTAATTGCTAGATGATAACATAATTAAAAGAATGGCTCACAACAGTGAGTGCTTGAATAGCTTTCCGAAACTTGGCTTCAAAATGTGATCCATTCAACGTTTGATTAAGGCTAATTGCCAGACGATGACACTTGCATTCCTTGACTTGCATTGAGAATGTTCACTACAACTGATAAAAAAATTAATTAAACTCATTGCATTTAATGACGAAATTACGAGAGATGACGTAAATGCATTCAACATAAAAGCAAAGCTATAATGCTCGACACGTATTATGTTCTAATAAAATATACCTCAGGAACAGTTCACAATTCAAGTTATGTATGATGAACAATCAATTAGTCAATCGATGTTGATCCCTCGTAACAAACCTTCACCAACGAATGAAAATGTTTTTAAGACAACAGTGTTACTAATAAATCTATTAAAACCCTAAAACCAGATTATTTTTAATATGTAGTCGAAGAGTAAAACAACTCTGTCATCTTACCCATACTTCACTCATTTTACTACCTATCATTACTAGTTGTAGTGCACAGGACTTCTTATCAACAGAAATGATCTCCATCCAAATTTTTCAATGACACACTGACTGCGTGTCAACCCATCAAGGACACCCAATTTTTGTCTTATGTTCAGCAAAAATTCAACATTCAAACTAATCCACCATGCAATAGTTAATAGAGTCAATCAAGTGCTTACTTGGCCACCTCCAACAATTGCCTCTTTAGTGTATGCTCTATAAACCATCGAGTAACATTATTATTACGCGTAAATTGCACGCGCAAAATATTCCATGAGCGAAATGGACTTGATTCATAAATCATTAGCAATCACTTAGATAATGAAAATACGCCTCCAAAAATTGCATGTAAGCAGGTTAAGATAACGAAACTTTACATCTTCGTAAAATATTTAGCAGCATTCCACTTTTCGTTTCAATTGTTAGAACACAGGTATGAATCGAAAATCTTATCCCCTCCACAACCGATCTCATCTGCAAATATAGGACGTTTTGAGTATGTGCCCTCATTACTTGTGCTTTAAAACGACACGATATCTGGAACTCGAAAATCCAAACTAATAGAGACTACCACCAGTTTTCGTATTCAAACCCCAAGACTCTTTTCAACCATTCCAAAACTTTGACAGAATCCTAATAACTTAGACATCAGTCTCCATCTCGTAACTAGTATGCTTCCTGCACCCTTACCCTTTGGCTTATTTCTTTTCTAGTGCTGCTGGCTCTCCTAATGAGCTTCCAAACTTCGCCCTTCTCTTCAACTAAATGTATACCAACCCCTACACATCTTCCAACCACCTTCCTTAACTTAACGCACTTAATGCGATAAATCCTAGTGACTCCGGAAAAGACTAGCAATTAATGGAAATACTACGATTGAAAGATTTTTGCAACCAGAAGATTACTTCATTTCCTTTCTTTTAACAACAAATGTCATATTCAACATCAACAAACTTCAAATAGCAATATCAATATTTTGTTTTTAAATAACAAAAACGTTAGGAGATGAAGAGAATGAGCTTAGCAAATAATATTCGTTGAATAAAGGAATGGTGTGTTTTATTTTACACCAATAAGAAAGCCCACCAATCTCAACATCAAAAACAATCAACGAATCAGCAAACTAAGCCATTACAATATCTAAATATTAATGCATAGTGTTGACTCATATTTTTGCGGCTTGTACTTTCAAATATGAAAATACACAAACCGTAAAAACCCTTACTTCAGAAAACGTAAAAAAATTAGTGATAATATTATCTTAATTCTCCAGAACCCGACTTGGGGAAATATGCAACTTAGTTAATCATCTGTATTTTCTTCATCTTCCTCATCATCATTGTCTTCAACCTCATCTTCATCTTCCATACTGTCAAATGATTCATAGTCGAATGCATCGGATTCACTTTGTTTGGACAATGTCTTTTTGACCGAACCATTCAGTTTTGGTGATAACACAGTTTTTGACTGCTTTGCTTCCTAAAGAAAACACAATTTAATTTACAAATTCGAAGCCTAATCACTTTTCTTTCACACGTTGTTTACCTTCCCATGTATACAAAATGACTAATCAAGTTAAGAGTCGTTACTTCGTTTACAACCCACAGCTCGCCATATGAACTCACTATTGTTTCTTTACATATCGATTTGCTGAACAGAAAGAACGTAGTTTTATTCTATACCTGAACAACATTAATCTTTTTACGCTTCTTTAATTCCAATCCATGAGATTCTTTAGAATTCTCTGTTTTGCCTAGTCTCGCTTTCTTTGATTTTTGAGCCGAGAAACTGTCCTGAAAGTAAACAGGACAGTGAAAGTACTTATATTAGAACACTGTGGTGGCGTGCTTACAGTAATCATATGAAAATTTAAAAATCGAACCATTTCAAGAATTCCTTCGTCCGAAGATTCTAGCTCGTCATTTGTCGTATCCTCGTTGACTTCATTACTCTTGACTTCTGGTGGAGGCGCATGACGTTTCAGAGTGACAGGAGCTTTATTCGTTTTCTGAGCTTTTTTTGGTTTCCCATCTCCTAGTCCTAGAAATTCCGCTTGATCAGATATACTGTGAAAACTTTCAAGTTACCATAATCATGAGTCGTGGATTACATAAACTGCCATGATAATCTCACCACTTTTGCGCATGCGAGCGTATAGAACATCAACTGGAGCACCCCCAACTTTCAACGTCTTGCCTTTTTCAAAAGCTTCACGGGCTTCCTTTTCATCACTGAACTGCACAAAGCAAAATCTGAAACAAGTAATGAGAACACTCATTAGTTATCATAATTTCGCATTGAACAACCATATACAGAAATTTGTCTCACTCAATTACATCGCCATAAAACAAATAACCAAATACGCAGTTTCCGTTGCACTTGAAGATATATACTCTACATAGAAAATCACGAGAAAAAACGTTTACAACTTGTTCCTGTTTCTTGCTTGCTTCGGAAAAGTAATATTCGTGGCTTGCTGGAAAATGATTTTCATCTGATCTTTAGATGTAGAAGGTGGTAGGCCTCCCACAAATAACTCCAAAGGTTTAAGCGGTAATTGATTTATGTCTTTGTGTGGACGAGTTTTAGCTTTCGCACCACAAAAGTCTACAATTAATGCGCGGCCACCAACTACTTGTTTCGATACTTTCTCGTAAGCTCTGTCACAAGCATCTTCGCTATCGAAAATAAGCCACGCAAAACTAAATATTTTACTCCTTGTTAGAAACAACTTCAATAACAGTTATTAGATACATCCAAAAAAGTATCTAAAAATATTGCAGACGTAAATGGGTAAAAAAATCGTTACTTGCGATGCGGCATATGGCGCACATGAAGTATACCATCATGAAGGGCTTTCAACTCTTCCTGCTTCACATCCTTAGGTAAACCTTTCACAAAAAGAGATTTTCTGTCACGCTCTTCTCGTCGTCTTTGTTCTTCTCCAATTACATCTTTAGCATCGTCCGGCTATAAAATTCATTAGAAATCAGCAAAAGTCATACTAGACAGAATAAGATATCAAACTTATACATTTAGCACTGGCCCATCGTCGAATTTCCTTTTTAATCCTTTTCGATTTTGTTCAGCAGGTACCACATTGGTTTGCTTAGGAGACATCTTAAAAGTGTATTTTTACGAACCATGAAAAGTCTTCATGAAATAACTTGGAGTTTATGAGCTTTACTCAAAAATATCAAAGATTCTCAAATATGTGTGAGTACAAATGCCATGAGAATGAAAAGTAATTCATCAGAACAACTCAATCTGATCTAATTGGAATCTGCGTTGATATTCATCGGAAAGATCCACATCCTACGACCGTACTAATGATAAAGATTTTTTAACTGCATATTGGTGGGTTCAATTCAACTATGCTACGGAGGTTTTAGACAATTTGCTACAAAAATTACCATTTCGACTTTCTTATTCTTCGTAGTCGACATTTCCATTCCTCCTTTACTTTGAACAATCGATTGTGCTTTCTTCTTAGTCTGAAAATTTAAGAGTATGTGAAATTACAGATTAAGAATAAAGAACAAATACCGCAAAAACTTTGTAATTATTAAAAGTAAATTGAAATTCCTTTACTTTCATTTTGGGACTCTTAATTTCTTCTTTGTTGTCTGTTGTCTCCATGCCTTCCCCTTTTTCATCGTTTTCCGCAACGTCTATCTTCTGACACATCTTGACTACCTTTTTCTTTCCTTCCCCAACTATCTTTTTCCCATGACCTTCCTTGTTCTTCTTCTTGTTCTCTTCATCACTGTCACTCTCTCCGTCCTCTTCACCTCCTTCATCTTCAACATCCTCATCCTCGTCACTTTCATCAGACTCTCCGAATTTCAACTTCTTCATCACTGAAGTACGTTTCTGAGGATGAGGTGTTACCGGGGTTTTACCCTAAAATGGTACATATCAAGAAACAAAGTCAACAATGATAAGCTTGGTATAGAATAAAAGAAACAATTTAAAACCCATCTATCGAACCTTGGACAATGTATCAGGAGTTGTCGCAGCTGTAGCTGAAAGCGATACCTTCTTACTTAACGACTGACCTGTACCAGGCGTCTTGAAAGCACTTTTCAAGGAAGTGGCTACTGCCTGAGGTGTTCTAACTACAAAATCACTTTTTACTTCATCAAGTATTATTCATGACTTTAAAATTAAATATTATACTGAAAGCATCCAAATACGATAGTAAATAGATACTTTCTATGGGGTTTTCTTCCTCGTCTTCATCCTCTACACTTCCATCTTCATCTTCAACTACTAAACTTCCATCTTCATCCTCATCTTCAAAACTTTCATCATCTTCATCTTCAAAACTCTCACTATCATCCTCTTCTTCATATTCGTTACTTTCCAGTGCGTCAATCTTACTTTTCTTCTGAGATTTATTTACTTGACCTGCAACATTTCAGCCAAAATGTCATAAAATTCTCATACAACCACGTATATAACTCATATCTAAATCGTTAGCATTTAGAATATAAATATCGACTCAGTATGAATTCATCACACGTGTTTTCGAATAAAAGTGAATTTGTACATCATTGTCGATAACTTCCATACTCACGAATGATAGCTCAAATATATTTGTTACAAATGTGTAACGGAGAGCACTAAAAAATTTTGTATTAGTAATCAAGTAAGAACAAGGAGTTAAGAACTCAAAAATTACCAGTTTTAGTTTCTTCTTTTTCAGTCATCTTTTCCTGCAATAAAATCACAAATAACAATTAATGACGACCACAGATAAACCAGAAAGACAAATATTATGTGAAAAAAATTCTAGTAACTCAAGAATAACCATACTTACTTTATTTTTAGCATTTTTTGTTTTCGAAATCGCCTGTTTCCCACTTTCGTCTAAAATAGAGATTATCAATGGTACAAGGAAAGAAAGTCAGCTAATACCACCAACATACATGTATTTCGTACTTATTAATTCAAACATCTTTAACGGAACAATTTACTTTGGCACCCAATAAATCATCATATATTGTACCACAAGAAACTATTACGCTGTGAATGAGAAATTCAAAACTATCAACTACCAACCAATATAGGTTCTAATACTATGAAAACAAAACTAAATTCAACCTTTCTTGTCCGCACTTTTCCTTTGTCCGAATTCAGCCTGAAAAAATGAAGTTTCACCTATCATTCTTCAAATGCTAAAAAAACAATACAACTTTACAACTAGCAGAAGCTCTTTTGAATTAAGAAAAATAGGAAAAAACACAAGTAGTACTCATACGACTCAGAGAATAACATTTGTATCAAACTTTATAAACTGAGATAGTATCCTTTTTTGTTCAGGGTATTATTCTTTTATTTGTTAGGAATTAAGGGTTTCGGATAGAAGCCTAACTAGCTTTTCCTCCAATTAGTTTTAATACCTGTGTGTTTGTCGAATTACTTTTTGACTTTAGTAATTTCTTCTTGCTTTTTTGTTGAGATGTTTCAGTAGCAATTGTTTGGGATTGCAGCGTACTGCCTGAATAGGCATTTTGTAAAATAATTCTTTGTGGCAAAAAAAAAAAAAAGAAAATCGTTGATTACGAAATAACCTACTCATTTCTTCGTCCTCCATATCCGAAACACTCAATTCCTGAAGACAAAAAAAAAAGTACTGATGACGAAAAATGACTAGTATTTCAACCAAAACAAACAGTGAAATGAACAATTATAGAGTAATAGAGGTAAAAACGATACCTCATCTTCCTGCTCAATCTCATTTTTAATGAACTTTTCGCTTGTCGGTGTTGTGGGCTCTGATAATGAGTTCCCAAACTTACCTTTATTCTTTGTCCCAACACCTAAATGTAGCATTTCTTGAGTATGTTACAGTCTCATGCTTTAAAATTTGAAAATAATTTAAAGATCAGCAACTAATAAAGGGAGCTTAAGAACAGATAAAATAATGACTAATTCTTCCACGTAATTACCTTTGTTATCCTTGCTCATGCCTCCAAAGCTTACTCGTTTCTTAAAATCCATATTATTCTTGCGCTTAGGAAACAGGGTTTGTTCTTGACCACTTTCATTACGTGTGCTTCTATCACCACCAAGCCAACTGCCTCTTTTGCCACGGTTACCACCTGAAGGAACAAAATGCTGCATAGAGAAGGAATATCCATATTTAATTACTGACGTACACAACAATACAATACAATAACAGAATAAGTTCTTACAGACATCCTTACATCATTCAAACCCTCAAAGCCAAAATATAAAAAAGTGTACCTCTACTGGAACCACGTCCGCGGCTAGAAAAATCACCAGTACTCATATTCCTTGGGCTTTCATCATGACTTCCTCCTCTAGGAATTCCACCAGGGGCATTTCCTTTTGGAGAAAATCCAGGACGAGTTCCCCTGCGGAAAGCACCACCTCGAGAGCTGAAACTTTTTTGGACACCACCTCCACGTTTACTGAAACCACCAGACATCTTCTTATTGTTACCTGTAACTATGCGTCAAACAGTAAAACATGAAAAGACCAAACCTTGGACCAGTATTTAAACAGATTCTAACAGCCTATAGGTCAAAAGCTCCCCCATGAGATTCTTGATTTCTATTCTGTTTCGAGATCAGTAAAATACAAGACTTCATTAGGCACGAACTATGAAAGCACTTCAATAACAGTCTCTTTAACAGACTGGAAAGATTCTCCTACACTCTTAACTTAATTACTCTAATGTAATGGCCGACCAAGAATGAACCAGTAAAAAGTCCAACCTCTAGAATTTCCTCGAGAATTAATATAACCCATCGCGAACAACTCCTGAAACTTCAGTCAAATTGCACAATGCCTAATAAGACCTTTACCAACTCAACACAGGCAAAAGGAAATCACCACAACCAGCAGCTACCTACCATCAACTACTTCACCAGTATTTTGGGCCGTATTGAAATCATGCTACGTACACAAAAACTCGGCCCCTTAAAGTTCGCACTTATCGACTATGAAAAATCTATATCCCACACCCTTCTGCAGCTGTACTGAGGATTGAAAACACGTCCTCACTAAGTGACTTTTACTTTGCGTTCACGGCACGGAGTCGATAGTGCCGCAGTTGACGTAGTTGAGACCTCTGCATGATCTAATGTTTTATGAATCTTCATCGACAATACGTAAAACCACTGAACTATGTTTATTACACTATCCAGATCAAACTATGCACTTCCACACGTCCACTAGCTTCATGCCCCATCAGTAACTAATGACGCACTTCTGTTTAAACAAGACTTACGCAAACTGATGTACTGTAACACTCCATCGACTAATACAAGAGACTTTCTTGTGTCACCTATGCGCATCTTCCGCACAAATTTTAAAAAACGCTTCAAGGCACAGAACGAATATTGCACAAAAAATAGATATTTTTCATCGACAAACAAGATAAATCCAAACATCAACGAAGTATACTGAGAAAAATCAACTAAATTACTGAATCAGTGACAAATGAATTAAAGCACGTTAGTAATGTACAGTTAAAACGGTAAAACTCAACAGCATAAAACAAGCATTAAACGTAAGTACAAGTTAGTTACAAGTGAGAACTGAACGAGTCACCAGATGACATCCTTCATTTTTTTCCTTCATTTGTTTCAGCACCATTCGGAGGTTTCTCACCCTGCAGTAAAAGACATTTGCAACTTTGAATGCTAACAATATATTCTTAATCAGCGTAAAATGTAACTATTTTAAAAGTAGTACAAAGGACTGGAATTTAGCAAGTTTAAAAAATTATACAGTGAAAACTGCTAAGAGATATATAAAAAACATTCCCACCTCTTTAGTACCACTCATAGTTATTCTGTTCATATCACTAGCAGTGGGCAACTCGCCTCCATTCTCTTCATTGCCTGTAAAATGATAATGGTACACTAAATATGCAAATCAGCAAATTTAAAATAGGAATTGATATTTTTAAAAGGATGAAATAATAAGATGCATAATAAACGCCAAACACCATTACCATGGGATCTCACAGTGTTGTAATACTCATCCGAATCCAGAAAATCGTAATCCAGAGAATCATCATTGTCTTGCCCATAATAAACATCCAGATCCATCAGCGTATTATAACGAGCTATAAATTATAAAAGTTCCGAAAAAAAGTTGGAAAATCTCTTTCAGGGAGAACATACTATTCCCTAAAATTTCCTTATGAGAGGAAAAAACTCCTAGAAATTTCCTTCTGACACTGTTTATACCACATACGATGCTATGAAAAAAACGATATTTCTCCTTGTGACCGTTACTAAATAGCTAACAATGTGAAACTGCAAAGATTTACCAAATGCAATTCTTTTGTCCTTTTTGCACATGCAACCAGAAACGCCCCTTCCACGAGCCTTGCGATCTGCTTTCGGTTGCTTGTTTTTCAAAGCATTTACATTTTTCTTAATATTACCATCTAAATTAAAACAATGATTGAATATCACTACTGACCATCAAAGTATTTCAATGATGATAAAATACAAAGAATTCTCACCAGAATTTAACAAAATAAAAAGAGTGCTCACCACCATGTTTTAAAATAAATTTGACAATTTCTAGCTTAAAACTTACGACGATGAATACCGTTGCCAACTGATTCTAACACAGCATTTGCACCATCCGCAAGCAATAAAACAACGCCATTACCAATATGATGATCGATCTCGTCATTCCAACCATGCTCACGAGCATATTCAATTTCAGCACTTTGCTCCGGATCCGTATCCTCGTCGCTAGTTGTATATTTGCCCCACGTGGCAGTGGAATACTGCTATCAAATTACCAACACTTTATAATAATCTCGAAAACACTTTTGAATTTTATTATACTTCATTTCCCCTAAACAAAAATATCAAAGTGAAATAGACTTACTG